AAAAAAAAAAAGAGAGAGCATTATATAAATTACTATCAAGAGAGAGCATTATATAAATTACCGACATGACAGATTACCCCAGCCTGCTTCCCCAAAAAGCAACCTGGGCTTTCCTTCTGGGTCAATGTTGTGAATATTTGTATGTCTGGGTGGGAAAGAATCAATACTACTAGTACTATTCGACTGCTTTCTTCTGGTGATCTAGTCTCTCTGCAAGACCCCAAGAGTGCGCAGGTTTCAAGGTCAGGACAGGACATACCCCGCAGAGAATCGCTTTAATATAATCTGTGCACACAAAGGGTCCCATCAGTCGCTTTTCAAAAATACTTTAGCCATTGCTGAGCGTCACTTGTACAAAATGATAACATGTTACATTAATTTCCCTATAGTAGGGATATATTACAAACTAGCTATAGGAAAGAACTTAATATGCAAAATAAGTAGCTCCCCCAAAATAATTATCCCAGGGTTTGAAGAGACCTGAGAAGCGAACCCTCGATCTCCAGACACTGCAGGAATGGGCACGGAGGAGGAATGAGGAGAACAGATCTACCAATCGCATGAGAATATAGGAAGATGCTTTTGCTAAAGCTTTTGATATTGTTTGTGACCTGGGAAGGCCCCTTAGCACAATTTTCCCCCTAAGCGCTCGGAGGCCTATCAGGCAAACCTTTCAACCAGGGTAGCCCTGCTGCACTTGTCACTACTATCTCTTGCCCTGGGATGTTGGGCACATTATCAGAACTTAGAGGCTTCCTCTCATTTTTCCAACATACCCTGGTTGATAGTTTTGCCATACAGGTCCACAAGCACTTAAGATAAAATTTGGGGGATGAAGGAGCGGGGAGAGATCTTAACCACAACTATCACAAGTAAAGCCATAAAACTGTACTAACTGTCCGATGGGTGTCAGTATGAGCATGAAACTTCAAAAATCTCTGCAAAGCTGAGAAGCTGCAGCAGGGACAGGGACATGAGAGCACGGGAGAGGGACAATCGTGACAAACGTACCTGATGTCCCTGGACAACTTGTACGGAGACCGTCCAAAGGCAGCTGAAGCCGCTGAGTTGACTCACCAGAAACCAAGGCATATTGTTTGTTTTTCAAATCTACTTACAACTTCCTCTGCCCAAACGCATCATGCTTAGATTTCAAACGCACAATCTCAGTCAGAGTCACCCGAAGGCCTTTGAGCTAATCCAGATGAGAAAATGAATGATGAGCTTAAAAGAAAAAAAAGCAGAGTGGGTGGGTGGAGGGAATTATTTAAAAGCAAGAGTCTGAATAAGGGAGAGCCACAAAGGGATTCTAAGGGAAAGCCTACCTTTTCCCAATAAAACTAAAAACCCAGACACAGCTGTGGATTTGATGCAACTCATAGCGACCCCATAGGGCAGGTTGGAACTGCCTGTGAGTTTCCGAGACTGCAACACTTTATGGGAGAAGAAAGGCCTTATTTTTCTCCCCAGGTGCAGCTGGTGTGTTTGAACGGCCAACCTTGGGAATCACAGCCCAACTCGTGACCACTCTGCCACCAGGGCTCCTTGACCTTCTCACTAGTCTTTACCTTCTTCAAGAAGTAAACTGGCCCAAGCTTTCGCAGGGGCTCCGCGTGCCCACGGCCACTCTCTCTTTCCTCATCAGCCCCAGAGGGCTTCCATGCCACCGGTAAGAATGTTAAGCATAGAAAACAATGGAATGTCTGGTGTTGTGTGATTTGGGGCGACAAGAAGAACTCTCTCCATTCATCCATCATGGGAAAATTTTTAGTTTTATACATATGCCATGACCATTACTGATGCGTCATTTTTGAAATAGAAAGCATGGTTGTGGCCAAGAGGAAGGAAAAAATAATTGCACCTGAAGGCTTCCCACTGACTTGGGTCATAAATTACTGGTTAGTGGTGACAGGTAGTTCCCAGAACATGAGAGACAGGAAGAAAAACAAAACCAATCTGAGAAATATCTGCCCACAACCACTTAGATC